CTAATTATCAGAGAAATGAAAATCAATACCACCCTGAGATACCACCTAAACCCAGTGAGAACGGCCCACATCACAAAGTCTCAGCTGCAGATGCTAGCGTGGATGTGGAGAGAAGGGAACACTTTTACACTGCTGGTGGGACTGTAAACTAATACAACCTTTTTGGAAGGAAGTATGGAGAACCCTCAAAGAACTCAAGAAGGAAAAAAATCCTTTTATCATAAGGACACTTGCACTAGACTGCTTATTGCAGCTCAATTTACAATTGCCAAATGTGGAACCAGCCTAAATGCCCACCAACCCAGGAATGGATTAACAAGCTGTGGTACATGTATACCATGGAATGCTACTCAGTCATTTTAAAAAATGGAGACTTTTCAGCCTTTGTATTAACCTGAATGGAAGTGAAACACATTATTCTTAGTAAAGCATCACAAGAATGGAGAAGCATGAATCCTATGTGCTCAATTTTGATATGAGGACAATTAATGACAATTAATGACACAGTGGGGGTGGGGGAAGGGGAGAGCAGAGAGAGGGAAGGAGGGAGGGGGTGGGGTCTTGGTGTATACCACACCTTTTGGGGGCAAGACACAATTGTTAAGAGGGACTTTCCCTAACAAACGCAATCCATGTAACCTGGTTTCTTGTACCCTCTAGGAATCCCCAACAATAAATAAATAAATAAACAAACAAATATTTGATGAAGAATTTTAAAAAAAAAAAAAAAAAAAAAAAACCAAGCAGGACCCACAGCCCCTGTGCAGCTAACAGAGCAGTTGGTCAGATTTGGGGGGACCTTTTAAAATAAACAGCTGAGCAGTTTTAAAATGCAAAATGATGGGTATCCACATAGGTACTTTGAGTTTTCCTATTTGAGCAAAGTGTAAAAAAAAAAAAAAAAAGAATAAAGGAAATCATTTTGAAGGGTATGGGGACAGGGTTTGAGGTTGTGTCTAAAGTACCAGGATTGTAAAGACATATATTTTATTTAAAAAACAATATGCTAGTTAAGGAATTCTAATGGTATGTAATTTTAACCACAGATAAATGATAGCATAATAACTACCTAAAATGTTTAAAACAAGACAAGCATGCATTTCTTTTTCAGCAAACAACTGGTTTGCTCTCTACAAAAATATCTGAATTAACTAAGCTCATTATTATATGTTGAACAAACCAACATGTATCACAGTTCAGTGTCTAAAAACACAGAAATGTGGATGCAAAAGAAAACAAATTTCTGGAGCTTGGGAAAAGTCCCTGGAAAGATTTAGTGTGAAGTACTTGGCTTCCAATAACAAGTATACAGGAAAAAACCTCAACTATAGCAGAGATGTTGTATTTTCACAGATTCTCAAAATAATAAAATATTCATTCACATCTTAGGTTTTTTCCTTCTTTTGGAATAAAAATCAGAAGCAGATTTCGAATTTTGAGAATCATGATTTATACAAATGTTTAAAAGAGGTGGATTTTAAATAACCCATTTTAATTAAAAAAGAATCTTCATCCAAGTGCTGAGAACTGTTTTTCTTATATTATTAAATTCATTTAATTCTTTTTTCTTTATACCCTTTTCCTGCTACCCCACAAAATATTTAACCCCTCCATTCAATCCCTACATAAATATGCACGGTTGTCTTGAGAACCGAAGTTGCAATTAAAAGACGTAGAGATTGTCTTAGTTTAGTAACTCTTACCCTATGATTCTAACAGTCACTAAACAGAGAAAAGTGAATATAAGAGAATGTGAATATAAGAAAACAAATGTCTTAGAAGCAACGTCTATTAGTGGAGAAATGCCATTTCTGTAGTCTCGGAAAGCTACAATATACTTGTCAAGATATTTAAAAGTAACCTGGCTATTTCAGCCATTCCAATAAATCTATTCACATTGAGTAATTATAGGGTAGGAACTAAAAAGTAGTAAGACAGTAAAGATTATAAAATATTATGCATGCATCATGAACTTAATTTGGAATTCTTTGTGTTTTATAAAAAGTGGGAAGGTCAGAAAGGTGGAGGTGTGAGAACTGAAAGAACTTCAAACTGGAAAAAGACAAGAGCTGCAATTATATTCAGATGCCCTTTTTAGAAAACTGCTTCGAAGCCTCCTACAGTGTTAAAGGAGGAGGCTATTTGTTGACTACATTTTTTTGTATTGCTATTAATTAGTTCCGCTTCAGAACTTATTCATTAAACTCCTTAGCACTTGGACACACTGAAGAATTGCGTACCTATCCAGAGACTGGTTAGAGGCTGGGATCCAAAAGAATGAAACCGCGCCCGTTTGGGGATTCAGAGATTCTAATTAATTCTGAAGTAACCTCCCTTCTCTACCTCTCAACTGGCACACAAACCGTGTCAGAGACAGCAGGCTCTGCGCATTTGTGCCTGTGCTACTGACTTAGGCAAGTTCCCATTATCTCAAGGTGTCTTCAGCTGCAAAGGAAGCTGGAATTCTGTTTCTCTGTGACGCTTCCAAGATTCAAGGCAAAAATCATTAAAAATGATAAAGAGGGGTGCATTTCACTGCCAAAAAGGTACGAGATGCGAGGAGATGAATAAACATGTGAGCAGTAAGATTTAAGGACAAAAAGAAAAACCTGTAAAGATATGCATAGACAACCCAATCAACTTGCTCAGTAAAGCAGCACACACAGGTGTCTGTGCACGGGTGTACAGAGAACACGTGATATCCTAATAAGTTTTGCAACTGTTTTTAAGCCTGCTATTATTTCAAAATCCAGCTGCCAAGAAATGCACAGAAGAGGCAGAACAACCAAAAAGGAGGACAAGAAAAAACGGGGCAGTCGTAAGGTGTCAGCTGGGACACTGGCCAGGGGCCACTTCCCTCCTCCTGTCTTAAATCATTGCTAAGGCGTCTTTAAGGCCAAACAACGAGCACAACAATCTGAACTTGATTGCCTTTTGGCTGAACTAGTCTTTTTTTAGAGGAAAAAAGAGAAGTAGCCAGAGACCCATCTGTATAATTTGACTCATTAAACCAAGATATGAAAAATCTCTGAATCCCAAGATTTTTGAAAAAGGGAGAAGGGAAAGCACACACTCAGAATAATAAAATGTGACAGATATATGAGGAGACCGGTCCCATCCCCAGGGGCTCTGTGTTCATTTTTACTGTGTCACTGGGCAAAAGCAGTTACCACTTTATTTTAAAATGAAAGGAAAATGCATTTTTGCCTGTCTCACTGAGCAAATGATTCCATTTTGTCAGGCCCAGCCCAGAGGCAGTCTACCCAGGGCTCTCTGCAACCTTCCTTCAGAAAAGGAGCTACAGAGGTGAAGCTACAACGTAGAAAACGGGGCAAAGCAAAAGACAGTGGGCCTATAGCTGAGATGATTTATCACAAAGGTCCTCATTTCCAGGTGACTCAGGCAATATTTGCTTTTCCCGCCTGCTATTGACATTCTCAGGAAATGAAAGTCCATCTGTCTGGGGGCTTGTGTATTTCAGCTTCTTTAAGCAAACAAGAACGTTTGTTGTGTGGATAGATGCTGGTGAAAGGTGCCCCTTTTATGAAGGATTACATTTAACTCCTTTATACTCGAGTAAACAAAGCAGACAGACACGCAGGCAGTGAGCACACCCCACCACTGACTCTACAGAGTCAGGATTTTTTCTTGCCAAAAAAAAAAAAAAAAAAAAAAAATACACATATATAAATTGTTCCTAGAAGAAATTTAACTTTAACTGTAATATTATTTGTAAACAAAGAAAGACAACAATGTGTGTGTGGGGGGGGGGAGTGGGGGTCAGTCATTGCAACCCTAAAGCATTTTCTATAACTAAAATTTTTGTGGAATTTGCTTCCCTATGAAAGGTTATTTCTTCTCAACTGTCTCTTCTGTCTTTTTCAAGTAATGGTGATTTTTGAAATCAGTTTTTCACTTTCGTGTTGGACTTTGCTTTTGCAGCTTCTAAAATCCATCAGTCAATCTTTTATTTATAAGAATAAGTGGCATTCAAGCTATAGTAGGTTGACCTCGGTAGCTAAAAATCCAATAGTTTAAAAATTGAGCTCATTTTTCATGAGACACAAGCCATGAAAAATGCTATCAAAATAAAGTTGACATCCTGCAATTCTAACTTATTTTATCTGATAAAAAACAAGGGATGATTCTCCTCTGACCTCATTATTGTCTCCTCCTATATCTACACGGATTTCATAAACCTGCTACAGATACATGAGCAGAAAATGATCTAAAAGGTCATTCGATAATTTTTTTTACCAAGGTATGTCTTATCCTGTCCTTAAATATGCAAACGTTGTAAATTTTATCCATTACATCTACTGTCACTACCTTTTTGGTTGTTGGAATTGTTATTAGTACAACTACCTACTTGGTCTTTTAGAGTGAATTTATTATTAGCCAAATAATTTTTCTGATTTACAAATATGGGTGGATAGAATCAGCTTTATAAACCTCAATTTAATTCACTTACATTGTCATCACTGGAATGGTGTAATTTTCAGCACACTGCTTATCCACTGTGATGAGGCAGAAAGACTTGGGGTAAGATGGTCTGTGTCAAACCCTCACTTGTTTACTCACTAGTCAGGTCCGTCAGTACATGTTCCAGGCTTCACTTGTCTCCTCTTCAAAGGGAAGGGTTGAACTACACACCTCGGCCTGTCACCCCTCTGAGACTAAAATCCCAGGTTACTAACCTGACACAAGCCCCTTTCACACGTAACAACGGATGTGTATTGTACAAGGGACCTTAGGCTGGGCCCAGCTTTAGTCTAAAAGGCACTGTCTTACTATTGCCAAAGAGAGTTTACTCAAACCCTCACTCAGCTGTGACCAATACTAATGTTCTTTGCTTAAGTAGAATTATTAACTATGACTCATCATCTCATTAGTGACCCCATTTCCAAAGTTACCAAAGGAATTTTCTCTTTAGAAACCCAAGAAGCAAAATCTCTAAAACCGTAAGGCATTTGCTACTACATTAAGAAAGTTCACAGTACCTAAAATAGCCACCACCTCATCATCCTGGATGACTTCTAAGGATCCTGACACCACAAAGCACAGGGCATCCACGCTCTCTCCAGCGTGGTAAATGAGGTCCCCGGGGGCACAGTGAATGGTCTGGAACTCTACCGCCAAGGCGCGCAGACACCCATCGCTGGCCAGTCGAAAGGCAGGATGTTCATTAAAAACCTTCCGGTTTAGGTGAACACAGATATCAGCTCTCATATCCTTGGGACAGATGGAAAGGACCTAAAGAAAGTAAGAGATGTGTTAGTGAAAAGGGAAGAGGAAAGGGCCACTTCAGGGTGGGGGAAAGTCCAACACACAGTTACAGACCATGACCAGGTGTGCCACAGACTGTGCTGGGTGCCAGCAAGGCAAAGTTGACGAGACACTGCTCAGCGCTCCAGGAGGTGATAATCTCATGAGATGAGCTGAGGAGCACATGCCAATTACAACCCAGCACCATGTAATAAATGCTTTGAGAACAGTGTGGCTCTCCCCATAGAACGCAATCTTGAGGAGGTCAGAAACAGTGCCAGAAAAACAGTAAAAATCATTTTGTCAAAGAAGCAACTAAAATAGAATATTAACATTCATTCGAGACTACCAGATGTTTCAATTTTTGTCATAACTAAATCAAAAGTCAGGACTATGAACTTTAGTCCTTATCAAAGGTCAATTCATATTAGCCAGCTATAAGAAAACAAAGTCAACCAGAGCACCCTGGCAACATGTCGGCACTGTAAATACAGCTCCACTCTGAGAGAGTTTGCTTCTACAAATGAGTTCACATCCAGGGAAGAAAAAGGGTATTCACGGCCCTTTTGCAAGACTCTGGCAACTGAAAATGTCAGTGCTGGCAAAGTGGGCCTATCCCTGTGAAGGGCTATCCTTGCTCATTCCAGTCTTGGACTCTTCAAGATGCTGAGGGAGAAATTCAAGCTTTAGAAAAGAAAGCAAATGGGGACAGTGTTCTTAGAGAGCAAGAGGTAGACAGTTTTACTGGATGTAGTTTTTTGACAGGGCAATTAAAAACCCAGGTGAAAATGGACGAGACCGTCATATTTAATCAGAACATCATCAAGCCAACCGTGATAGAACAATTCAGGACCACCCACTTTAAAAATGCAAGTGCACACTCATTTGGATTCCTCTTCCAACTGCTTTGGTAAACTATTACTTACAATCAGAAACATTTTTTCTTTGATAGGATTTCAATCCCTCCAAGCTAAAGCTAAATTGATTTTATCCCATTAAGTTATATTGTATAATATTTTAATATTAAGACTTTTCTCTCCACTACTAATTGCATTTTCAGCTTTAAAAAATTACCCAGGCTTGAAAATTTCCCAGACTCTGCTTTCACCCATGGTCCCCACTATCAGTGAAAAACTGGCTGCTTCCCTGTGGAAAAGACAAACTAATCACAAATGTAAAGACCATTAATTAAATTATGCATTTGATATCCTTTCTCTTCACCATTCCTAATAGTTTCATATCACTTAATCATCTCTGTGGATTTTTTAATACCCCCTCAAATGCCTATAGGCACCAGCAATCCCCTCATCTGCCTTTCTGAAACATCTCATCTTCGACGTAAGGGATTGCCTAATAGAGCTTTAAAAACAATGGGCGCTCTGCTTCCATGTCAGTTATTTTACACTACAGTGTAATATTTTCTTTAATGCAGTAACCTGTAGTAACTTTGGACGGTATTAGTCATTCCACAGGCACTGAGTGAGCCTCTGTGATGGGTCGTGTGCTGTGTTAAGTTCCTGGAACTATAAGGATAAAGGAGACACTGCCTTTCCACAGAGGAGCCAACTAACCACGGAGGAGAGGATGCAGGCAAGTACAGGGACTATTATAACACAATGAATTAAAGTGCTGTGACAGAGGCATGTCCGGGGGGTGCGGGGTCATGACAGTCTTTAATTCATTACATAACAGTCAGGCTCCAGAGGACATAAGGATGGGGTAAGAGCTGTCACTCACCACCTCTATAGACCAGGACACCATATTTAATTTCTCTACACCTCATCTGTGAAATGGGGATGATGATCATGTTTATATCATAGGCTCATTGTAGGCACTGAATGACAGGGTTTAGCCTGGCACACAGCAAGAAACACTAGCTTTTGGCTTCTCTACTGACCATGTGTATTCCGCAGAGTTTATCTGGTGCTTTGGCTCTCCACGAAAGCAAGTCGCTTTTTCAATTTCCTTCCCTGTCTGAAGTCTGGGCTGTTTGATAGGTTTCCAGGAAAAATTAAGAAAATATTTCAGCATGAACCTGAAGATATTTTAAGCACTGGTTAAGATTAATATTAGCCCTAAAAAACCAGAAAATAAAAAGATTTTAAATACATACATAAACATCATACTGAATAGTGTAAAGGAAGATAGAGTGCTCTATTTTGATCCATGTACAATAAGGGACTTTCCCTGTTTCAATTCATTTTGGTGACAATCATCTTAAGTCCTTCTAATTATTTCTTTCAGAATTCACACTGCATATGAAATCTTCCAATATTTTCAATATCCTGTTTAGTGGTACATTGAAGGAGGATTTTTTATTACATTATGAATACATCTTTTCCTTTTCATTTCAATTCTTTTATGACAGTAACTCATTCATTGTTTCAACTGATGGCATTTACTTATATTTAGATGCCATGAAGTGACCAGTTAGAAGTGAGAGTTAAAACAGATCAACAGATATCATACTCAGTGGCAAGCTCCTTCCCCATCCACGACAGGTAATGCACTTTAGATAGCTCATGTCATCAAAGTTTGAGTATCTTGCTACTCATCTCAGTGAAGGCACTTAGAACTATCTTAGCCAAGGCAAGATTTAGTTTTAAGTGAAACAAAATGATCATTCAAGATAACTCTCAAACCTGGCCCAGTGGTCCCAATTTCAACGTGTTCTACCTTGAATGTCATAGCCTGTGGCTCAGTGGGTCGGGCACTGGCCCCATATACGGAGGGTGGTGGGTTCAAACCCAGTCCCGGCCAAACTGCAACAAAAATTAGCCGGGCGTTGTGGTGGACACCTGTAGTCCCAGCTACTTGGGAGGCTGAGGCAGGAGAATCACCTAAGCCCAGGAGTTGAAGGTTGCTGTGAGCTGTGACACCACAGCACTCTACCAAGGGCAATAAAGTGAGACTCTGTCTCAAAAAAAAAACCCCAAAAAACCCCCAATATATTGTTGATGGGTTCCCTAATAGGTGCCTCATTGTTATAAACAAAAACACTATATTTCAGTAGAAAATTTTCATATTAAAAGTGACTTTTGTTCAAAAAAGATTGTTCATTTCTCCCCTTTTCACATTAGAATGTTAATAAACTGGACTCTTCATTAACATGAAAAATACATTTTCCTTTTAGAAGAGCTCTGGAAGTATAAAAGGAATCATTTTGCAGAACCCTGTAAGCCAACTCTGAAAAAAATGAAGGCCATGGTCTGAAAAAGAAGAGCTTTTTGATATTATTTATGATATCTATTAAACTCAAGGTCAAGAGGTACATTAGCAGATGGTTCTCAGGCTCCAAAGATTTAACCTCAGCACTGTGAAATAGAGAACTCTTGGCGAAGCACAAATGTCACATTACCTCTGCTTTCCACAAATATCTGCTGCCTTGCTTTCCTTCCTCACCAAAGACAGCCAAAGTCCCAACCACATGCACGGAGCTCTCTGATGGGACCTGCTCTGGTCCCCAAACGGCTGAAGCCATGCCGTGTTTGTCTCCACTCTGAACTCACCACGTCCTCTCACAGCTCTCTGCCTTTGCACCTGCTGCACCTGCCTTTCCTTTCAAGTAGCATCCCCCATCTCCCATGTCTGCCTGGTCATCTCCGGCTCCTCTGTGAAGTGCCACCATCCCTCTCTCTACCATAACCACTATCTGTCTGTGCACAGCACTCTCATAGAATTTGTAACCTTCAGGAGATGAAAATGAGAGTAAGGGGTGTTGCTATTTGTTGTGGTGGTCATTAAATAATAACCTAAAATAGTAACATAGAATTATCATCAGAGATTTCAAACTTTTATTTTCAGCTGTAAAATCATTCTTTAGCTCTTTTTAAAAAACCTTACCTTAAGCCCAATATATAGTATAGATACCAGCAGAATTATGCTGGCAAAAGATCTGCTGGGGAGACAGACTCCCAGGCAGGGCTCCCCAGGGCACACTCAGTCATTCATTCAACCAATGATACTGAGCACTGGTTATGTGTCAGTTTTGTACCCAGCACTCTGCAGGAACCCCAGATCCATGACCAAAAACTTGTACAGTGCCTGCTTCCCTGGAGCATCCATTAGGCACAGTTTTAAAAACTCACTGTTCCTAGCTGAACGTCCTGTGTGACAGATAAGGCGAATGTATCTGATAAAAGTTCATGGTTTGATCCAGTCCTCTCAACAGATTACCAGCAAAACCCCAAACTCCTGAGCTCCAGCTGTTTATTACATTCAGCTATGCTCCTGAGTGAATCTCAACCAGAGCTAAAGTTAACCCCTGATACTTTCTCACATTTTCTATTTCTCTGTTTACTACAAGAATATAAATGCTGATTTCTGAAATCATCAAGGTCCAATTAATAAATTCTTTAGTTTATTCATTAGGATGCCACTAATGCTCCATCACCACCCCACGGAATAGCCTGGATTTTATTGGAAACTTCTTTCCATGTCCAACAAATGCATTGCATACTTGAATATGTTGGCAAACACATGAGGTTTCATTGATAAGTCATTTATATACCATCACTATTTGCCAAGGGGAAGTCACCTTATTTGAAATACAAGTTTTTGTGTATATAGGAAAAGGAAGAAAACTAGTTATTCGCCTCAGGTGAGCATTTGATAAATATCATTCTCCCTGGGTCACTTCCACTATCACTTTCACTCATGGTGACAGCAGTAATGTCACAAAACCCTACAAGAAGAGGGAGTCTGAATACAATAATTAACACAGAAATCAAGAAATTAAATCAAGATCCTCTAAGGAAATGATTGACTAGAAAGACACAAAGAAAGAAGGTTTTGTCCTCCCACTTATTCACTCTTTGAAGATATCCAAAAGTGTATTTTAACATTCATTATACAAAATGTATTTGTGTGGGGGAGGAGACATTGCCATGACTTACACCTATGCTATATAGTATTTTTATTACACTGGAATCTGTGAAGTTTTATTTTTTCCTATAATCACTCCATATTGTAATCAATTCCCATGCTAT